CTCTCCAAGGAATGCTGAAGCAAATGTAGCCATCTTTGGACAGTTTTTTGCTTTAAAACTCGTCAAATTTGCACACTGGAATGTGCAACTTCCAACATAGAAACTTGTCAAGTCTGAACAAGACTCCAGAATAATCGTGCTCAAGTGAGGGAGTATTATCTTATTTTCTGCTCCTTCCTCCATTATCACTGCTTCCATTATTGTGCAGTTTTCTACCTTCAAAATTATGAGGTTCACAAGGCTCTTGACCAGAGGGAGGGTAAACAGGTATCGCAAGTTGTTGCAATTACAAATGTCCAGATAGAAAAGGCATCTAAAATCTAAGATTTGAAGGCCACTAGTATGCCAATTTTGAATCAGTTCAGGAAACTCGGAGAGGCTCAAATCCTTCAAACCAATAAATCCAACCTGCCAAGTCCAAGAAATTAATTACTAATTATAACACAAGAAACCATTCGTAAGTTAACAGAGAAAAAGAACAAAATGAAAACAGAATAGGTGACTTCAAGCTAGCATTTGATAAATTTTTATGAATCAATTCATACCTTTTTCGTATACATTCTTTGTATGGTGGTATTGAGATCACCTTCCAAATTCCACAATATCCCTCCCTTTACTTGCAGCAGTCGTGGTGTTTTTGGGACTCCCTTAGAGAACATCTCCAATTTAGGGCATTGTTCCACAATTAGTTGCTCCAGATTTGGGAAATCAAAGATGAAATTCCCAGAACAGAAGCATACTAATCTTATCAAACCTTCAAGTTTCAAATATCTCAAACTGCTGAAAATAACGGGATCTTGTGTCAAATCTCCTTGGCATCCAACTATTTCAGTTAGCTTGCGGCAACCCCTTATTGTCATACTCTTTACTTGCACCAGGCTTTGGACTGTTGCAATTGAAACCAAGTTTTCCATTTTATGGCAAAACCATACCTCTAAAGTTGTGAGATTCTTGAATGATGTCGTGGATGTCCATAAACTGATCAAATCATCACCCCGAATCACTTTAAGAGTTTCAAGATTTGAAAGAACATTTGACGAGTCTCCGCTCCAAACATGCTTGAGATTAGTAATGAATTCCAGCTTTAATGTTTTAATCCTTGAGAATTGTGTCTCAAAGTGTTTCTGTTCTTCTTCTTCAACCTCTCCTTGTCCATGTGAAGGGAATAACTCTTCGAGAGAACACTCGGTTAAAACAAGTTTTTCCAAATTGTAGAATTTCCGGCGGAAGCCGATTGGAAAAATAGCCGATTCACCACCAATGTCATGAGAAATCCGAAGGACTTTTATATTAAAAAAGAAGTCTCGTTTAAATCGGAATTCTCTTATCATATCGATGTCACCTTTTGACAAGGACAATTTCTCCAATTGAGGAATGATCTGGAAAGGAAACCAATTCAACAAAAAATGAAAAAGATCAGAAGATCATTAACTGCACTTAATGGGATCTCATAATAACTACTGCTAATGGGCCGGTTTTCTCGAGAAGGTTGGGAAAGAGATAGAGTTGACTAATGACTATTGAGAGCGGGACATGGCTTGTTCAATATAGTGGTGAGCTGGGCCCTCTGGTCCCTAAATACCAACTGCGACTGCGTTGTATACGTAAGGAGGAGGATAGGGTGTATAAGGCTCATTGGGCTGATGGTGGGCCTCCTTTAAAACATCAGGCCCGAGGACAAACAGAAAGTTGAGTCTTTTTCCTTTTTATTTTTTGGGCTTTAGAATAAGGATGAGCTTTACTTAAATGCGATAGGGTTTTCTACGGACCCTACGAAGTCTCGCGGGTACAAGTGAACATACTTCGCTTTGGGGAAGAAAAATCAAACCAATTTTAGGTTCGATTAGGTTTGGTTTGAGGGTAGAGGGAGGGAAAGGGAGACAATTTCTAATTTCTTATATCTATTTATCAAAAAAATTAAAGCAGAGAGGGGAGGGAATTCCTTCATTTTAAGGATGGAGATGCATAGCCCCTTTTAAGATTTTGGAAAAAAAAATTAATTATATATGTTAATATATTTTATTTTAAGTAGTTTTTATATTTATTTTATTGTTAAAAAAGAAATAATTATGACTTTCTTTGTAGGATTATTGGTTTGTATTTAGATTATACTTACTATATTTGATAGGGCATAATGGGAAAAGTTTGAATTTTTGGGTCTCGGGATATATGAAGATTTTATCATTTTAATTTCTCTTTGTTGCACACCAAGTATTTGATCAATTAGTTCAATCAGAAGCACTTTCTTTACTACACTCTATTGTGTACTATATTTTGAGGGTGTTGGTAGGGGAATTATTTAATTAGCTTGATCTCTTTAATTATTGACAAATTTACATACAGTTAATTTGTGCTTATAACAAATTCATATTTATTATCTTTTAGTATTTAATTACATGTGCAATAGATTTAAAAATATAATGAAAAATCAAACTCAAGTGAAAAAAATAAAGTTCAAGAGAAAAAGTATTTGTCTATCTTGAAATTAAATAAAAATAATAATAATTTGAAAAAACTTTTAATAAGGAACAGATGGAGTACTTAGTATATTTACTTCTTATTTGTTATTTTTACCTATAATTTATTGTGTATTCATTTGTAAAAGACTAAAAATTTTGCCAAAGCTCCTTCCTTGCTTTTCTTTATTTTTTACTTCACTTATTCAATTGAGGAGAGGCAGGGTATGGAAGAGAAAATGAAAGGATCTATTTCTCCCAACCCAAATATAACCCTAGTAAGTATCCTACGTTTAAGCAAAAAGCATATTTTGACACAAGCGTTATTTATCTAACAACTGAAAGTAATAACATGGCTCGTACCTCTTCCATGTAGAAAAGTGGCTGTCCAACGGGGAAATCTGGTCGCCCTTGTCCATTTCTTATCTCCACTTCATCAACACAACCACAGTCAAAAACATCCAACTTTATTAACTCTGGCCAAAGCGTTGTGTGTTTTCTTGAGTAAAAATATCTGAGTCTTTCCAGCTTTGTAAGTTTGAGGTTCGACAGTCGAGGAAACACAAACTTCACACCTGCTTCTGTTCCTTCACGTCCCATTGCAACAATTTCCTCCACCCCACAACTCCCTATTTGTAGCTTTTGGAGTTGTTTAAGGCCTTTAGCTACTGAAATTGGAAACACACTTTTGATATTAGGACAGTTAAGAACAACCACCGATTCCATATTATGAAAAGTGAGAATTTCTTTGGGATCCTCATTCCACACATGCTTCAAGCTCGGTAGACCATTAATCCACAAATTTCTCAGCGGAGTCTGTACTGATTCTTTGAGGTTTATCTCTCCCACGTTAAACACCTCTTCCACTGAAGCACAAGAATAAATTTCTAACTTCTCTATGGATTTAAAGATGCTTCCCAGCATATCTTTTGTAAAAATTGTCATTAAATTCTCACAATCTCCAACAATCAACTCTGAGAGTTTGCAAAAGGAACCCGACGAGAGTTGGCTGTGCCATATGATCTTTGTGTTTCTTAAATCGTAGAGAGTGATGCTTTCCAAGCAGGGAAATGAAACCTGCGTAATTCATGCCAACGAGTGGAGGGGATAAGGATAATTAATTCCAAAAGCTAAAGCCAAACATGCAAGTCAAGAGATGAAAAAAATTTTACATGTTCATCGAAGAAGGGCAGTGCGTCATCTGCTTCATTTGTGCTCTTAGCTTTAACCATGAATCCCATTAATTCCGAGCAATTTATTATGCTCAATCGCTTCAAAGATGGGAATTCAACAGGACAATTACCTGAGGGACAATTACCTGAGGGGAATTCAAATAAAGTTTAGAAGTCAGCAAATTACAGATTTTTGTTTGATCTGGACAAATATATATTAAGAGTAAGTTTTATTGGGATCAAAATAGAAGTCAAATTTTTTTTAGTACAACCGTACGATTCACATTATAATTTAAAACATACAAATCATTTATAATAAGCCAAACAACTTTTTTAAAAGTTAAAAAATAATTTTTATTATTAGTGTCAGGAAAAAAAAATGCAAAGTTTAGTCCAAGACCAATGTTTCCATTTAACCTTTTCTAAAAATAAAAAAACACAGGAATCTTTTTCCCTTTTTATTTTAGGATTTTAAGAAACCACAAAAGCAAAGAAATATTAAATATTACCCATTTCTGGACCAGTCTCCGTGCCAATAATCCCTCTCAAACTCTTGCAGTCTTCTATTTCAAGGTGAAGAAGATTCTCCAGACCATTAGCCAAAGAGAATGAGAACAGATATTTTAAATCACTACAAGACGAAATGATCAATTCCGTAAGCTTCTGAACAGAGTCACGTGTCGCTAAACTGTTCCATATCCTGTCAATCTTAACATCAGTTAACTGCAACTCCTCAAGCATTGGAAACACAACCTGCATAAACATACAATTCTTTTTTTCTTGAGAAAAGCTTACTTTTTTGGTAGATAATACTCGAGAAAAGCTAATTGTTTAGTTCATAAATTTAGGAAAAAGGAAGAAAAATATTGTAGTTGTAGACAGAAGGCTTAAAGTGGACAACCTAAAATGAATAATTGAATATTATCTACTTATTTTTTAATTTCTTCCTTTATTTTTCCCCAATCCCCTCATTTCCTTTTATTAAGAAAAAAAGTACCATGGACACCGTACTCAAATATTTGTCTGTTAATTATAATTTGATCCAAGGAAGATAACTATACAATCATACTCGCAACATGAACTTAATTTTGGTTATTGTAGCCTCAGACCTGCAACACCCACTATTTTTTGGTCTTATTTTTTAATTTGAGTAAAGAAAATTAGAAATAGCACTTAAGCTTTAATCTTGATAATTTCCTACTAAATTAAGAAATGAACGTCAAATATGTATACTTCTTATTCTTTAAAATTCTTTGTTAATGTAAAAGAAAAATTAAATATTGAGACTTAATTATTTCTAATTTTTTATAAAAATTTCTCAAAATATTGTTTGCTTTTATAATTTAACTACGAAAGCCACTACCATCAACTAAACAAGCCTATCATTCAATCTCTTATACTTGCCATAAAAAAGTTACGGGATAACTTGAAAAAATTTAAAAAGATTAAGCAAATAAATAAATTGAATACCTTTTCATTGAAAAGCGGCATGCATCTAGAGCTTGATGACTGACCCCCTTGATCTGTGATGCGGCTATTCTTTTCCTGACAGAAACTAATGAAGTTCGGTAATTTTTCTAATCTCAGGGACCGTACTTGGCCAAGCTCAAATTTTGTAGCTGCTTCCCCAATCTCACGAATGGTTGCTTGTGCCTCCTCAGCCACAATCTCTTGGCCAGGCTCAATTTTTGTAGCTGCTTCCTCAATCTCACGAACGGTTACTTGTGCCTCCTCAGCAACAATCTCTTCAAGATTCTCACAGTCTTTCAAGCTAATTTCTTGGAGTTGGATAAGCTGTTTCACTACAGAGAAAGAGAACAAATTCTTGAGCTGATGACAACATTCAATGGTTATGATTCTTAATTTGTTAAAAGATGTTTCTCCAAGAACGTCCAGTTCACAACATATCTTCTCCATTTTCGCCAAATTCTGAAGAACCAATTCCTCCAAGACTGGAAATGCATTGCTAGACACCAACCTCTCTGAATCGATCATAAATTGAATCTCTGGAGCATTTTTGACATAGAGATATCTTAGTTTCTGAAAACCTTTATTGTCTAATTGATAAACCACATTCTTAACACCGTGCAATCCCTCTAAATGTAGTTCTTCAGAGACTTTTAATAACTTTATAACTGAACCATGAGAACTGCCTGCCTGCAGTTCCAATTTCAGTATTTTCAAATTTTCAGAAGGACTCTCCCGATGCTTCCACAAATCTCCTATAAAAATCTTGTATCTTTTCAGTTCTGTATTGAATAAGCCTCCTGGGATCATTTGGATATCATTTATACAGACCTCCAAAGTAGTCAATTTTTGCAAACGCTTCAACTCAGCAAGGCTAGCATTTCCATTTTGATTTTCGTGTTGCTCGATACACTGCCACTGGTCAAAGCTATTGGCCATTTTTAGCTCCTCTAGCCTAGACAATTTGGACAGGACATCCGGTGAAATTACTTTGAGGCTGGTGCAATCACTTATATCTAGCAACTTTAACCTGGTCAAGCATGCTATTTCCTTTGGCAGCTCAGTAATATCACACGCAGCAAGGTTGAGGATTTGCAAGTTCTTCAGCTTGTCGATAATATTTCCCATGCCGTCTAGTACTCCCAACTTACTTTGATTGAGACGCAACGTTCGAAGGTTTGTTAGGAGGGAAATTGATTGAGGCATCGGTGAGAAATGTATTTTAGACAAACTCAGGACTTCGAGGTTTTTCATTCCCTTGAAAAAGTCTGCCGGGACTGCAGTTTCTGAAGAAGGATCTTTGTTAGATAAATGAAAGAAAGTAAGCTGAGGACATTGTACCTGTTGACGCCCTCCTTCGGAATTGTGCGCCAACTCCAACTCTTGAAGAAGTTGACTAATATCAGCATTTGACAAACAAATCCACTTGAGTTTTTCCGTTGCCTCCTCGTCTGGCCACACCTCTGCTGCATCTTCATCTCTGAAAGCTAACACACCTCCGTCCCTAGAAGCAATTGAAATGGCAGCATCTCGAACTGCATCTTGCATGTCAAATTGAATATTGCTGGGACCATCAAGTAACAAAGAAGAGCCTTTGAGATTATCCACCAAAGTGCGTGCTGCAGCTCGGGCGTCCTCTATTTTATTGACATCTGGGAATAATTTTAAGCCAGTACCATATTCCATTAAGTCTTCAATGGACGCATTATGGCCCATTAGGCAGCAAAGCAAGAAAGTCTGCTTTAGTGCTTCGCTTTCCAACTGACGAAAACTAAACTCGATAGCTGAATAAACAATGGCATATCCACTGCCCTTAGAGGCCTTAAGTTCTTGCAATAGATAACTCCAGCAGTGATCTTCCTTTCCTCTCAAAGCCATTGCCATTTTTTCAATTGCAAGTGGCAGACCGGAACATCTGTTTACAATCTCAATAGCTTTTGTCCGGCGGAATTCAGAGCTTTCAATGTCAACTTCAATTCTCAACTTAAACAGCTCCCTAGCCTCATCTTCTTCCAACTTGTTAACATGGAAGACGTTATCATTTTTAACACCCATGTTTTCTGATAGAACTTTATGATCTCTGGATGTAATGAAAACCTTACACTCCTTTTGTTCTTCACTTGATGAGCTCTCCTTATTCTTTTGCTTTGCTACAGAATGCTTCTGCTTGGTTCCAGAAGGAATTCTAAGATCCTCCAAATCTAGTTTCTCCCAAACATCGTCCAAAATTAGAAGGGCATTCAATGCTTTCAGCCCTTCATTTATTCGCTCCGCAACTTGTTGAGGTGTGAGTTCTTTAGAAAGATTAAACATTCCCAGGTCACGTGCGATTTGATGCTGAATTTTCGTCAAGTCAGGTCTCCTCGTCACCTTAGCCATAACCACAACATCAAACAGCTTCTCTTCCTCAGCTTTTCTTTTAACTTCTTTCACAAGCGTTGTCTTCCCCATACCAGCCATCCCGTGCACCCCTATCATGTTAACGGTTGGACTTTTTAGTGCCTTCATGATATCGTTCAACACCCCGTTTCTTGATTCAAATTCAACAAAACCATCCCGTGGACCCCTCTCTGGTTTAATACTTTCTTGTTTTTGAACATGAAAGTAGAATATCTTGCGAGTATCGAACTGCACGGCCTTTTGCACAAGTTGATCAACAACCTCGGTGTACTCCTTTGCTTTCTTGCTTAGATCGTAGAGAGACTTCGGATTAGAACACCACCCAAAGCAATACTTCCTCCGTGCTTTGCGTTTTAATGCCATTAATTCAATACGGTTTCCACTGTCTTGACGGATGTACTCGTCCGCTTCACTCATCCAGTGCTTGACCTCCTCCAAAATCCTCTCCCCACTTTGCTGAGCTTCATAAACTCTGTGCTGCAGGTCCGTTTTCTTAAGAGCCAGCTCATCCAGTTTAGCATCCAGCTTCATATCATTTTGCTTCCACAAGTACAGAGCAGTGATTGGATATATGACAAGGTACGTAACAATTGGATCAAAAACCTTGTCAAAAACCTTGTTTGCAAAGCAAGAAAGACTTATAGGATCCCCCATCTTCCTGACTTTTTTTTTTTCCTTGGTTTAGATAACTAGAAGAGAACCCAAAAAAAAAAAAAAGACAGTAAACAAGTGCCCAACTTGGGACAAAAGGCAAATAAATCAAATGGATGATGCAGTGAAGATGAGTTGTGACAATAGAAGTGGAAAAGGACTGATTTTTTTGGGTAATGCAGAGCCTAGGAAAAAATATAGAAGGGAAAAACGAAATTGTGATTACAAAGGTGGAACCAGAGTGATTTTTTTTTAGTTTTTCTTGGTAAAGGAATGCAGAAAGCCGGAAAATATAGAAGGGAAAAGGAAATTGTGATTACAAAAGTGGAACAAGGGTGATTTTTTTAAAAAAATTTTTGGTAAGGGAAGGCAGAAAGTAGGAAAATATAGAAGGTAAAAAGGAAATTGCAATAATAGATGTTCAAAAAACAGTATTTTTTTGAGTTTTTTGGGTAAAGGAATGCAGAGAGCAGGAACACATAGGGGAAAGGGAAATTAAACGGAAGCTGCAAAGAACAAAGCCTGGAGGCGAAGAGACGGTGGAATGTAAAAACAAAAGAGCCCTGAAACTGGAAGGCTACGAGGCTTTCTTGCTTCTAAGATTCATTTGATGTTCTTAAATAGGCATTGTTGAGTACAAAAGCAACTAAATTACCATATTGGATACTGGTCATACGAATAATTATAAAGGAGCCCAAAATCATTAGGCCGAACTAGGTGTGGGAATCGGTCGGTCAGTTAATCGTGATATCGGTTATTTAAAACGAGAAGCTGTCTGCTGCACAAAAATTTATTGGTTTTACATCATTTGGTTTATTTTTAATAAGTTATTATTGGATCGCTTTTGGTTTAAAACTTAATTATTAAACATTGTTTTTGACTAAATTTAATAAATAATTTATTAATTATATAATTTATTTTGATTTAATTTAAAAATAATTTTTTTAATTATTTATAAATTATCAATTTTATTTCAAAATGATATATTTAACAAATATTTCAATCTTTTTGGCCGTTGATGTGTGCTACTTAATTCATCACTGGCTTGGCATGTGGCACAAAACACACAAAGAGAGTTGGTACAGACAAAGTTGCCTCTAAATTTTTAAAAAAATATTAAATATAATACATATATTTTTATTTTTTGTAATTAGTGAGACCATATTAAATAAAAAAAATTAAAATCTCAATTTAAAATTTAAAAATTCA